TAATCTTCATGTAGGATAATCCATTCGTGTTAGGAGGGATTCTTGTTCTGTGTTAATCTTCATGTAGAATAATCCATTCGTGTTAGGAAGGATTCTCGTCCTGTATTAATCTTCATGTAGGATAATCCATTCGTGTTAGGAGGGATTCTCATCCTGTGTTAATCTACAGGTAGGATAATTCATTAGTGTTAGATGGGATTCTTGTCCTGTGTTAATCTACGGGTAGGATAATTCATTAGTGTTAGGTGGGATTCTCATCCTGTGTTAATCTTCATGTAGGATAATCCATTCGTGTTAGGTTGGATTCTCATCCTGTGTTAATCTACAGGAAGGATTATCCGTTAGTGTTGGTTGGTAGGCTCATTCTGTGTGAATCTATAAGTAGGATAATCCATTCGTGTTAGGTGGGATTATCATCCTGTGTTAATCTACAGGTAGGATAATCCATTCGTGTTAGGTGGGATTATCATCCTGTGTTAATCTACAGGAAGGATTATCCGTTAGTGTTGGTTGGTAGGCTCATTTTGTGTGAATCTATAAGTAGGATAATCCGTTAATGTTAAGTAGGATCTTCATTCCTTGTTAATCTTGATTAAAATATTTGTATCTAAAGGATTTTCACTTAAAAGTAATCTGGCTGATCTGTTTTATTGGCTTTTTTGTAGATCCAGACAAGCGCAGTTCTGAAAAAACAAACAAAAAATCTTTGAGTTAAAATGTTTTTTGTTTTTTTAAACCTGTTTACATAAGAAAACATTTCAACACATAGTGAAACCACATGGTTTGAAGACCATTACCATGTGATCAATAATTATATTAATACTTAAAGACCATTACCAAGTTATCAATAATTATATTAATACTTAAAGACCATTACCAAGTGATCAATAATTATATTAATACTTAAAGACCATTACCAAGTGATCAATAATTATATTAGTACTTAAAGATCGTTACCAAGTGATCAATAATTATATTAGTACTTAAAGATCGTTACCAAGTGATCAATAATTATATTAGTACTTAAAGATCGTTACCAAGTGATCAATGATTATATTAGTACTTAAAGATCGTTAACAAGTGGTCAATGATTATATTAGTACCTAAAGATCGTTAACAAGTGATCAATGATTATATTAGTACTTAAAGATCGTTACCAAGTGATCAATAATTATATTAGTACTTAAAGATCGTTACCAAGTGATCAATAATTATATTAGTACTTAAAGATCGTTACCAAGTGATCAATGATTATAT